GAAAGGCAAATGAGGAGATGTCTTGTTTCCTTTTCCTCATGCTGGGTCCTTGGAGCGCGGCGCAATAGTCGATCTGCCCGGTGAGGGCGCCCAGTAATAAGGCCCTGGGACTGTTTTGGGCTGCGGTAGAGGAAGGTTCGGGCCTGCCACTGGTGCCACTGGTGCCACTGGGCTGGAGGTGTAGCAGTGATTGATTCGCGCGTACCTGGCAGAGTGACTGACCGCCTGACCATGTGCCGTCTTCCGAGTCGGATGGGCTTTCAAGGGTTTGGGGCTGAACAAACGAGCGCTGGCAAAAGGAGAACCGGTGTCCGCCAGAAGCGTGGGGTGAAGGCCATGTCGGACTGGTTCGACTGGACGTAGAGGCCAGTGGGAAGGAAGCATTTTGCGGAGGAGGGGCAGCCCACCTACTTGTAATCCCAGCAAGGGGCCGCAAGGGGCAAGCACAGCGAATCCGGAATTCGACCATGGATTGTTTCTGTCCAAGTCTGGTGTCACGACATGAGGCTTGAGCATGTGCGGGCGACGCAGCCTGACCGGCTACAGAAAGGACAACCCCATGGATAAGCAAGGACCAAAAGAAATAAATCGCGCAGGCCGGGGGGCGGGGTGCTGGGGGCTTGACCTTTCTCGGAGAGGTCCTTACCTCGTACAGTGAATGGGAGCTTGTGATGTGGAATGGACAAGGAAGTTGCAGAGGAGTGCAGAGAGACAGCCCGACGGCGCCTGGACATGGTAGATAGAGTAGGAACAACATGGTGACCGTACTCGCCCGTCGCAGGCAATCAACCTCTACTTGTTATACCAGATATGATTACTCGGGACTGTCACTGGACTGTGCCGAGTAGAAAGGGATGTGCGGGGGTATCAATTCTCAATTCGACTCGACTGGGTAATAATCTGAAGGGACATCATCATACCTCCTCGGGCGTGCGCGGGGTGACACGAAAACAAGCACAAGCAAGGGAACTGAAAGCGTGGAGTGCATTGCATATTGCATGTGCTGGAGGCTGGCGGCTGCAGTAGCGAGTTTGGAGTGCAGCAGTGACCAAGGCACCGTGGGTGGGAAATGGTCGAAATGGATGAAATGGTTGAGACGACAAGAATCAGTCGGGACTGCAGTAATGGATGGGATTGTCATGGATTGAGCCACATTTATAAATGCCCATCTTCAACACTTCTACCGCAGTATCAACCACCCCCTCTCCCTCTCTCTACAAGTATATCTCACTCTCACCTCACTTCCATCTCACTTGGTCCTCCTCCCCAACTCCTGCCAAAGCCGAGTCCTCGTGATCGCCCGCCTCCATCCCACGCTCTTTGACCACCTGCCGATCGACCATCTCTCCCATCCATCCATCGCCCACCTGGTCCAACTCGAAAAAGGTGAGCCAGACTGTGTTGACGGACAGCCTCATTTCTGTCCTCATATCCTACATGGCTCCCTCAATGACTAACTATTCATTCATACAGTCTGTCCCCTCTCAGCCTCTTAATCCTGAGCTCTCTTCCACCGGCACCCATTCAATTCACGCACGATCCACTCCAAGCACTCGAAAATCCCACCCCGGGCGCTTCTCCCACCGACCCACTTCAACCTCAACCCTACCAGTATATCTTGTTGCACTCGCCAATTCACCGGATCCCACGGTTCGTTGTCGGTCCACACGGCATCAGGTCGCCGGTCCTGGCCATACTGCCCCAGACCACAGACGAAAGGCAGCAGAAGACAAGGCCAGCACCAGGTGCAAAAGGGGAAAGAGCAAGCACCAAAAGTCTACTTGGTAAACCCTAACCACTGACACCGCGAGTGAAAGCCACGAGGAACTCGACACCCATCTGGTATCGACGTCGGCGCGTCTTATCTGCTTCCACCTCACCCAACCGTTGACCAGCCTGGGACCCGCTGGCTGGAAATGCTGCAGCTTTTCCTGCCCCTCCCCACGTTCTTTCGCCATTCGACCATCTCCCCTCGCTGTTTGCACAATCCCGCCCATTTCGAGTGAACAACTCCGTTTCCCCCTGCTGCATTCGATCATCGCGCATGTGCATTGCTTGCATGCCCCATCTGCGTCTCGAGATCCTCTCGTGCTCCAAGCATATCGCGCATCCCACTGTCGCCCTCATTCGGTTGAGGGCCCACCCATCGCGGCCAGCAGTCACCATACTGGTTCCTTTCTCTCTGACGCCCTGCCCACTTTGACTTCACCAGCTCTCTCAAAAAGGGCAGCCACTTCCTGTAACACTGGTTGTTGAACATCTTTCGCAAAGAAGAGAAACCTCCAAGTGGCCGTCACCCTGGCTCCTCTTCAGTTCCCGCTCACTGCTTGTGAGCTCAATCCCTCACCTTACCCGCCATCATCTCGACCACTGCCGAGGTCATGTCGGTCATGACCAGTGAGCCCCCTTCGCCCACACGGACTTCGAGCGGTTTCAGCCTCCTCTCCAAAATCAAGTCCCACAAGGAATCCAAGTACCTCAGCCCTTCCAAGCCCACACCCGTCCATCGCACGGGGAGTTATGGCAGCAATTACGACCTACCAACGCGATCGTCGCCCTTCTCCCTCCCCGCCCATGAAGGCGCGGGGGCAAAAGCTCGGCGCCTGAGTGCGGATCCCCGAGACGATTTCTTTGTCGATGTATGTCCCCTGGAAGATGAATTCGTCTCGGCGTCCAAGATAGGCCGTCGGAAAGAGATCGGGAAGGGTGCTAGTGCAACGGTCAAAATCATGCAGCGGAAGGGTGAGAAGAAAAAGGGCGAAGGCACGGCGCTGTATGCCGTCAAGGAATTCCGCAAGAAGGCCGCGAGAGAAACGGAGGAAGAGTACGTTCGCAAAGTCAAGTCCGAGTATACGATCGCCAAATCGCTCAACCACCCCAACATTGTGCAAACCGTCCGGCTGTGCACGAACAACGGCCGCTGGAATCATGTCATGGAGTACTGCCAACAGGGCGAGCTCTTCAGCCTGGTGGAACGAAAGTACCTGAAGGCAGAAGACAGGAACTGTATCTTCAAGCAAGTCCTGCGTGGTGTCAACTACCTGCATGAACATGGGATTGCTCACCGGGACATCAAACTGGAAAATCTGCTCATGACAGACGACGGGCACATCAAGATCACCGATTTCGGTGTCTCGGAAGTCTTTTGTGGCGACCATCCCGGTATCCCTCTCTCGGGAGGACTCTGCGGACAAGCCATGAGGGAGAGTCGCAAGTCGGCACCAGGTATTTGTGGTTCGAAACCATACATATCGCCCGAGGTTTTGGCTCAGGATCGCGAGTACGATCCAACCAAGTTGGATGTATGGGGATGCGCGATTCTTTTCATGACCATGTTTCTCATCGGCAACCCGTGGCAGAGCGCGAGCAAGAAAGAGATGAATTATGCCCTCTTCCTAGAAGGGTGGCAAGCGTTTCTGGAGCGGTTCAAGGATTCAGCCATCGACGAGAACTGCCATCCGCAATGTGGGCCCATCTTCAACGCTCTACCGTCGAATTCGATCCGGAGGTGTATCCTCAAGATGCTTCACCCAGATCCCGAACGGCGATGCAGCATCAACGACGCCTTGAACGATCGGTGGGTCAAAGGAGTCGACTGTTGTTCACGTGAGGAGATTGGACCGACCTTTGATGCAATTGACGTGTCGAAGACGGGGTGTCACAAGGTGGCAGCCAGGATGAGGGTGCAAGCCAAGCATGACCATCTGCCGCCACCGGTCAAGCGGCTGCCACAACATCGCTTTGACATGGGGGATGGCACATCTCGCTATGACTGAAAGCTGAGGCATGCACGATCCGGCTCGCCTTCGCCCACAGGTATTTGCGTTTCTTTTGCTCCTTTCTCTAGACGGCCGGGCTTTCTCTCTTTTCATATGTTTTTCTTCCTTCTGCGAACGACTCTTGGCTGCGTTACGAAGTGCTCGGAACCGCGGGTGTACAGAGGTCTCTTGTTTTCCAGTTCCAGGTGGGAGTCGTGTCGCGACGCGTTCTCAGCTGTATGTATATACGAGTGTGTTTTGTGCATGAGTAACGGCCGAAACAAAAATGGGCGGTAGACTGCTTTCGCGACTGCTTTTCGCCGCAGCTATAGCATATACCCGGCATAGCATATAACAGGTACCAAAAAAGCAAGGCAAAAAAGGCCAGAACATGAGCGATGCCCGGCAATGAGGCGTCGATTGAAAATCGATTGCGCGCATACGATGGTCGAGGCAGCGATCGTCTATGGTGTGAATATTTCTTTTGTTCCAACAGTCGACACTATTGTTTCTCTTGGGCTTTCCAAAATGAAAATCGCTTGACCGCTTTTGCCAGCAAATAACTCCGACAACGGCATCCGGATGCTTCCCAGCTTGTCCATGTGCCAAAGGGGCCACCTGCATCAAATGACGGGGACGTGGAAGGATGATTGGCGATCAAGAGGCACAGGGCAGGACAGGGCAGGACAGGGGCATCTTTGTCCATTCCACGCCGAACCGCCTGGTTCTGGCCATCCGATCGGGACAATAGCCGAACGCGCAAGCGTGTGGTGTGGTGCCCATCCAATTGACAACACATGCCCGACGCCAGTGGGTTTGTTTGCACATAGCTATATGCGAGCTCGCAGTGTGGATTGGGTGCCCCGGCAAGCAGGCAATCGGCCGAGGTATTGCTGTCGGATTACCTAGAAGAATATCTGTACGGAGTCATGTGTGCCGGTCCTACGATATCGTTGAGAGAGTGAGAGCAAAGCACAGGGAGTATAGAACGCCCCCTTTTCCCTCTCAACAACATTAGCATGTATATATGAGCGAGTACATAGACGGTGCATAGAGTAGACAGTACTCCCTCCATAGATCGGTTCGCTCTTGGCCCATAACGCCATCGTCCCGCCGGCTGCCAATCGGTGACGATTCGGGCTTGACGTCCTGACATCTCCTTGGGATTGATAGATCCTTTCGACATCTCGACAAGAAGCCTACCATCTCACATCATATCCAACATCGTCCTTTACTCGTTACATGGCCGAGACCACCCTCGCAAACAGCAACAGCGACACCACCACCACCACCACCACCACCAGCCCCGCCATCGCGATCGCGGCTGACCCCAAATCCGCACAGCCAGAACAACCCTACCAGCCATACATGGACGTGCAACCGCCCACGACCGCCCACCTCAGCGACGCCAACGGCATGCCTCTGAGCGAGAAGGAGATCGAGGCGCTGGAGAGCGAAGAGAAGGCCGAGCGCGAGGCCACTCCAGAACCCAGCGACTTTAGCATCGCCTTCCCCGACCACCTGCCCACCCCGCCATTCTTGCATGTCCAGGGCGTGCCGAATTTCAGGGAGCTGGGGGGATATCCCTGTCAGCCGCCCTCGTCGTCGCAGCCGCCTCCTTCCAAGACGTATGTCTTGAAGAAGAATCTTCTCTACCGCTGTGCTCACCCCACGCACTTGACTCCCACCGGCGCTTCCTACCTCACCACCACCCTCAATGTGCACGACATGTACGACCTGCGTTCCGCGCCAGAGATCAACCGGCTCGCGGGCACCGTCGCCTCCAGTGGGAAGAGCGTCTATCCGCTGGCGAGTCCGGTGTCGGGGTGTATCGACGAGGTTCCGGGCCTAAACCGGCATTTTGTTCCAGTCTACCAGACCGAAGACTACGGCCCCGTCGCCCTCGCAACCAAGTTGGCGTGGTATACTGCCGAACACTCGCACGACGAGGAAGCAGGCTACGCTTACTCGGACGGGTTTGTGAAGGCGTATCGAGACATCGCCACACACGGTGTGGGCGCCTACAGAATCATGTTCAAGCATCTCCTGGAGAGGCCTAACGAGCCCTTGGTTTTCCACTGCACGGCCGGCAAAGACCGCACGGGGGTGTTTGGGGCGCTGGTGATGAAACTCGTCGGCGTAGACGAGGACATGATCTGTTGGGAGTACGCCCTCACCGAGCCAGGCCTAGGCGGGTGGCGGAACGAGTTTATCGAGCGAATCGCCCAGACCGGTCTCGGCGGCGGAGGCGGCAAGCCCCAGCACCAGCAGCAGGTTGTCACGGGCGAGAGAGAGCACGGACGGCCGGTGATTTCACGAGAAGAAGCCGCCCGCATCTGCGGCAGTCGCGCAGGCAACATGCGCGCCTTCCTGCGGACCGTGCTGGAGGGCGAGTTTGGCGGCGTCAATGCGTACTTGACCCGCATGTGTGGCTTCAGCCAGGACGAGGTGGCGCGCCTGAGGGAGAATCTCGTCGAGATGGTCGACGATGCCCCGGGCCAGGTCATGACCATGGTCGAGATTGACGGATGGTCTGCCGAAGGGGGCTGTGTGGATTGACGGTGGTGGAAGCTGTGATGGCGGCAGGGCGAGCAGAGCAGGGAGGCCCAAGGCAAAGCAGGACGGTGCATACTGCACCTGAAACTACCACTGCTATTGCTCCTGTCACCGCCGTTGCTACGGGAAAGAAGGAGAGAAGAGGGGCTGAAGGCGAGAAAGGAGAAAGAGAAGAGACGACTGACTGACTGACATCCTTTCCACTCCCTCGTCGCGTCCCGGGTCCGGTATACAACCTTTTTTATTTGTTTTCCCTTTTCATTATACATCAGCCAGCCTCACATTGATTACTTTTCCCTTACTCTCCGTTACCCATTTCGACTCCCCTCCACATGTTTTTTGTTCTTGATCTGTTTGGCCTTTCTGGACCTTTGTTCTCAGATTTTTTGGCTTGGGGCTTTCGAGTTGTGCTATATATACAGACTGGCTGGTTAGTGAGCGAGTGAGTCTTGGACAATTCACTCTTCCTGCCTTGGACAAAGGCTGTGGGACGCACCAAACGGCTCCGGCGACCAGGATCTAGTGCTCGCACGCACGCGCGCACGCACAAACGAAAGGACGAACGAGCAAATTTGAGCGAATGATTCAAGCATGAGGATTAGGAGAGAACCGCCTGGCTGCCCTAAGTTAACTTGCCTTTGGAAAAAGAGACTCGGCGAAACGAAATAAACAAACGAAAGGGAAAAGAGGAGGAAAAGGGAGTGGAAGAGATGACTTTGAATGCATTTAGGTTACGTTTGCAATAGACTCCAGTCTCTCTGCTATATGGACCATGTTAGACGCTGCATCAGCTACATTACATAGATGGATCGGTGGACAGACAGACAGCTAGACAGGAAGATAGATACGCAGATGCAACCTCCCCTCCCCCATTTTCTTCGCGGGTGTGATTGTTTAGTCCTCCGTGGTTGTACTTAGCAGGATAGGTAGAAGTGACAAGCAGGGGGTGCTATAGATATCTTATAGAACGTCCGAACAGCACCATATTCATCTTGCAAGTTACAACTACGGAGGACCATATGGAGGAGTATGTTGATGACTCTATAGTGCTCTCAAGGTGCTCAGGACTCAGTCTTGTAATGTCACGCGAGGCGCCGGTAATGGGGCACGGGCTTGAACGCTCAAACTATGCATGTAGCTACCGCTGATACCGTACGTAGCAAATGGATTCATTCCCACGGAAGAATTCATCTTCCCTCTTTTTAATCTTTCTTGCCACCTTCTCTCTCCCTCCCTCGATCTGCAAAAGCCGAACCTGCCTTTAACTAAGCTGTCCCGTACCCTGTACGATCGGTCCTTCAAGACTCGCGTCTTCTCTCCTCTCCTCCGGTCGCGACACTTCCAACACCATGTCCCCGAGCGGCAGGGCTGGCGCCCATACCTCCTGGCGCCACCCGGGTGGGACTAGCACCTGCGCTCACGGCGCCCCTCTTGTCCTTCTTGATCAAGTTCGCAAAGAACTGGGACATGGCTTCGTTGCTCTGCTTGGCTGCGCCGCCCGGCCCGCCGCCGCCAGAAGGGGTCTGGGCCCCGTCTGCTCCGTGGTCGCTCCCCATCCGACGCATTGGCGTACCGGTGCCTGTTCCTGCAACGAACCCCCCTGCTGAATGAGAATAAGGGCCGTTCGTGGGCACGTGCTTCGCCGCATTCTGCCGCTCGCTTTCCCGCTCTCTCAAGCGTCGTGTCGCCTCCTCGGCGTCGAAATCAATCCCGTTGACGTTGATCTGATACGGTCCGATATGCTCGGCCATTCTCGGATTCGACACACCCTTTAGCCCTTCTTCCCCAGCGCCGCTTGCTTCAACGCTACCTGCACCCGCTCCGGTGGGCGCAGGTGCGCCTTTGCGCGACTTCCTCTCTGCCTTTTCGTCTTCCGCCTTCAGCTTTTCCAGCATCTCGTGCTGAGCCTGCAGGAATTCTTGGACAGACGGGACAGAGACGGTTTCGTCGTGCGTACGTGGCTGGAATGAGGGGCGCGTGTCGGCGGGACGGCGTAGGGTGCGTTCAAACAGATTGACGGCCGATTCTGAGTCAGTATCGTGGTTCTGAGGAGGTCTGTCTTGCTCTTGGTCGTAGGTCTTTGATGAGAGATCGAATCGCTCTTCGGGAGGGGGCTGTATTTCCACAGACCACGCATCCGCCACGGCCTCTGTGTCGAAGCCTTCTTTCAGGATGCGAATCTTACCCCACGAGTCCCAATTCGGCGGCACCAGGATCTTGTCTCTGTCGACGATGTTGTGTTTGGCGACTTCCCGTTTCAACAGGGATTGAATGCTCAAACTCGAATGCACCAGTGTCCGTACGTTGTTTGGGTCGAATGTGGCTGTATAGACGAGCGAGGCTCCGTGCTTCAGCAAGACACATCGCAGCCATTGCATCAGGAAGTCAAACTGATCTTCGCCCCAGCCAAAGTCTCGTTCCAGAACTTGGATCTTTTCCGCCTGTATGCACACCACGCACAGTGGAATACCCAGTCCTTCATCCCATTCTCCCGGTCCGGGTGGTACTATTGACTTCTGCTCGGCCGCTGTGGCATTGCTGCCACCGCCGGGCTGAGCAGAAGGTGCATCTGGTCCAACTCTCTTCTCCTTCCAGGCAGTCATGGTGTCCTCCATCTCAATCTTTGTCTGCTCGTCCAACGTCAATATCACCGCTCTGAGCAGGCGGATCCATTGTCGTAATTGCCTCGCCCATTTCAAGGGATCCGACCAGTCCAGCAAGATGGCAATCAACGTATCTTTGACCGTCTTTGGTGTGAAGAGCGGCTTGAGCAGTGGTGCAAAGTGCGCAGAGGGATTCGTCAGCATGTAGATGTTCATTCTCGCCAGCACGTCTTCCTGATCTGCGTCCAAGACATCGTGATACGTATAGCCCAGAGCATAGCGGTTTGACACGGGGGCTATTCTGGGTTGTCGCCGTCTGTCGTTGTTGGCGTACCGCGCTCTCTGGTTGGGAGGGTTTAATTGTTCGAGGAATTCGCGTTGTTGGTCCGGAGTGCCGCCCAGGAGAATGAGTTGTTTTTCGGACAGGTCCTTGCCCTTGGAGGCGCTGTTGAGCATGGGCACCCAGATCGCTTGTTTGTCGCCATCCTTGCTGCCCGAGCGGCGGAAAGCTGATGATGGGATCGGGGTGGACGAGGGGGATGGGCGAGGAAAGCTGGGGCTTGGTTGAGACGTCGCCAACATCTTGGATCGATTGTGTTTCAAGGAAAGAAAGGAGTTTCGACGCAAATCATGGTCAATTGAGAGTGTAGCATTTGTTCATCAACTCGCACGCACTCGATGCAGAACTGTTTACGCGCTGCTGGGTTGAGAGGCCGACTTTTTGTTCTCCTCGCGTTTTCTCCGCAGTTCGCCCTGACCAGACCCTGAAACACACCGTTATAAGCTTACGAGGAACTTTATTAAGCGTCACAGTTCTTTGAACTTTTCCTCCGCAGGCGACTTATGCAATCCTTCCCATTTTGTCGCATGGCCATAGAATGATACGCAAAGCCCGGCTACCTTCATAGTTTATCTCTTGGTCTCTCGGTCCTTTGAGTGAGATCGATCATGAACGCCATTCGACAGACCCAACTTCTGAACAAGCGTGAGCTCGAAAACGCGACACCACCCTCTGCCTCGTGGCACGCCGACTACAGGGACACCGCCTGGATTTACATAGGCGGCCTGCACCTGGGCTTGACGGAAGGCGACGTCGTGATCATCTTCTCCCAGTACGGCAATCCCACACACCTCAATCTCATCCGCGACAAAGAAACCGGCAAAAGCAAAGGGTTCGCTTTTCTGAAGTACGAGGATCAGAGGAGCTGCGACCTGGCGGTGGATAATCTGGGAGGCGCCGAGGTGTTGGGCCGGCTGTTGCGGGTTGACCACACCAGGTACAAGAAGAAGGATGACGAGGATGAAGACACCTGTCGAATTGACAGGCTGGAGGCCCAGGCCGAGGCTGAAGCTGGAGTCAATGGGAATGGGAAGAGAGAGAGTGACGATACCGATGATCAAGACGACGAAGGGGCTGGACGCCGGAGAAAACGGAGACGGCACCTGCTGAAAGAAGAGGAGGAGCTGGAGGAGTTACTGGCCATAAAGCAAGACGGCGAGGAAGAGGACCCGATGAGAGAGTATTTGATCAGGGAGAAAAGGGAGGAAGTTGAGAGGGCGAAGGAGAGAAACAAGGAAAGAAGAAAGCACCGACGTCAACGGAGAGATGACGTTGTGGAGGATGGAAATGGCGATAGCGACAGAGAAAGGGCGCACCGCCATCGCCATCACCATCGCCATCGCCATCGAGATTCTGAAGACACTTCCCATAGGAGAAAAGATCGGGACGAGAGTGGGCGCACAGGGAGGGATCGGCGAGAGGACGAGGAGGACGGGGAACAACGACGAAAGCATAACGACCAGGACTCGCGATATGACCGAGATAGGGACAGAGACAGGGAGATGGAGCACCGTCACAGAAGTTACCGACCAAGCAGCAGAGAGAGAAGGTCATCTCGGGACTACGGTCGTCCCTCAACGAAGCTTGATGACGATTGATGTGATATGCGTACGCTGTTCGACGTGCTATATCCTCCCCAATTCAGCGTCAGGTCTCGTCGGCAAGAATCAAGCTGTTATGCCAGGTCTAGTTGGTACCCGCTTGATCGCAGACATGGGGCAAACATTGATCGACCCCTCAGCTCGATTTCTCTCCTTTAATAAGCAGCTCGACGCCCGTCTCTCTCAGTTTGAATTTCTCTGAAGAAATACCACTCGGTCAGTTGTAGTTCCACCGCCAATGCAAGAATCAACAATCGGGCAGAGTACTTACGAATCTTCCCGCTGGCCGTCTTTGGATAGTCATCCACGAAAAAGACATATTTCGGCACCAGATGGTGACTCATGCGATCCCTGACCCAACTTCTGACTTCCTCGGCGGTTATTTGCTTTTCCCCTGAGGACAAATGATGCCTGCGAATGACGAACGCCGCAACGACTTCTCCATACCTTTGATCTGGGAGACCGACAACACTAACCTCGGCGATTTTGGGGTGTGCGAAGAGACAATTCTCAATTTCAAGGGGGTGGATGTTCTCTCCGCCCCGGATGATCAGGTCTTTGATGCGTCCTGTGATACTGACATAGCCTTCTTCGTCTATCGATGCCTCGTCGCCGGTGTGCATCCAAGCCTTGCCGTCTTCGTCGACTTTTATGGCTTCTGCTGTCTTTTCTGGCTGGCCCCAATACTCCCTCATTACCAGATATCCATGAACCGCAAGCTCTCCTCGTTCACCCACATTTAGGATCCTGTCATGATTGAAAGGATCCACGACTTTCGCCTCGACGTGCGGAAGTAATCGACCAACGGTGTTGATGCGCTTCTCAATGGGGTCGTCTGTCGTTGTCATGGCAGAAACGGGAGAGGTTTCTGTCATCCCGTAACAAATCGTCAACTCCGTCAAATTCAGCGTCTTATGCAGTTTCCGCATCAGCTCTGCGGGCACTGATGAGCCTGCTGCGATGCCAGTTCGCAGGTACTGAAAACCTTCGTATGCGATCTTCTCGTCATCAAGGAGTTCCAGTTCCGCAAGGAACATAGTCGGGACACCATAGAGGGCTGTAGCTTTCTCCTCTTGGATGGCCTTTAAGGAGGCCAAAGGATCGAATGCCTCGGCTGGAAAAACTATTGCAGAGCCATGAGTCGCGGTCGCCATGTAGCCCAGGATACATCCAAAGCAGTGGAATAGAGGGGGTGGACAGCACACAACATCTTCTGGTGTCAGCAGCATGCGGTCCCCTATTTGGTTGCCGTTGTTGAGGATCGATCTGTGTGACAGACAAGCTGCCTTGGGCATGGACGTAGTCCCAGAGGTGAATTGGATATTGACAACTTCATGATTCGAAAGAGGAGAAGACGGTTTGGGAGCACGAGTATCTGTGTCCTGTGATATCGATGCCCACGGTGTTGTGGCACGGAAAGGTGTAGCATCTATCCGACCGGAGGAGTTGTCCACAAGGATGATATTCTTCAGGGTTGGAATCGCTTCCGAGGCAAGAGCAGAGCTTGCAAGATCGGGCACGAGCGCTTCGAGCAGGGAGATGTTGGGCCGCGGAGGTTTGTACGGCAGGTTCGTTTCGGTCCCAATGACTAGATGTGTGGCAGACAAGTGGTTGAGGGCCGAAATGATCTGGGTCGAGGTGAACGCTGGGTTCAGCGGGACAAGAATAGCACCGAGCTTGAACAATGCATATGTGATTGTCGCGAATTCGAGGTTGTTGCCCAAAGACACGCAGACTCGATCCCCCTTCTTGACGCCCAAGCTTTGCAGTCCGTGAGCCAGGACGTTGCTGTCGAGGTCGAGTTGTTGGTATGTCAATCGCTTGTTTTGGTGTCTGGAGATGACGGCATTTTGATCACCGTGTGCGGAAACAATGCGCGCAAAGTTCTCGCCGATAGTTTCTTCGAGTAAGGGAGGGTGAAGAGGTCCTTTCGTTTTGGCTTGGGTCAAGAGACTACGTCGTGGCCGACGAAGTGAGGAGAAGGTAGCCCGTGCCGCAGCCCGCGGTCGAAAGAGTGCCCGCATGGCGTTGTCATTGTCCTTTTAGATGAACTATTGGGATATGCTCAAGGTGATTTCCTCGCCATCCCAACCAGCCACGGAAATGTATCTCAACGCGCTCACGCTGTCGACCCAATGTTTCGCTCCGCAGAGAGGAAAGAGAGAGAGGGTGGGTGTTTGTGGGGGAACACATGGTGGAAGTCCTGGGCGAGCGGACCATTGCCGCGGTCATCGGCGGACGGGAGGCAGCTACTGTAATACCTGGGAGGTGGAATCAGAGAGCTGAGACAGGACGAGCTGACTCGATGCTTCGATGCCGAGTCGTGCCTCGTCGGGGGCGTGTTGTGGGGTAAAGAGGCCGATCAGATCAGCCCAAAGAGACCCAAGATAAACGAATGAGGCCACCAGAGGAAGCACAACAAACCTCGATATCGAATGGCCTTCCCAAACATGTGCTCCGATTGTCATTGCGCAGAAGTGGCTAGAGAGGCTGTGTAGATTTAGCCCGTAGAAAAATGGAGGAACCGTGCTCCCTCGCTCATCGACACGAGGAGGTGCAGGCTGCACTGCAAGACACGGGTGACGGAGAACTGAGGGCCCGATCAGGGCAGTGTGCCTGTTCTCTGTTCACAGGGGTGTTCAGCACATTCTGCGGTAAGCATCGAAGATGGATTGGCGGTCCCTGGTAGTGGCCTCGCCCATCTGGACCCGAAGCTTCCGCCCACAAAATGCAGGCGCAGAAAATGCGGGGTGAAGCAACAAGCGACATCGTCACAGTCACCGTCACCGTCACCGTCAGGGGTGGCTGGCCTTTGATGGTTTGGGATGACCTTGGTCATGAGGGCTGCCATGCGGCCATCGTGTTCATTACTGCCGTCTCTGCTTACTAGGCTTTCCAATATATACAGACATACTTGCCCTGACCTCACATTGGGTCAATCGCGCTGTTGGACATCAAAATGCTGCTCGAACGAACAAGTCAGAGCAAGCAACGTACAGCAGCAAGAACCACACACGAAGGGCTCGAGGCCAAACAGGACGCTGACGCCCAACGACCGTTGACTTGCATGTTTTATTTCTTTGCGTCCCAAATGAAGCGCAACATGCAGCCTGCCGACCAAGATCTCGTTCGAAGAGGGAGGCTCGAGGACAAGCCAACTCATCAGCTGGATTCCATGATTGCAAGACTGGGCATGCATGCGGCCTTTTCTCCTTTGATCTCCAAATTCGACACATACCCGGTCGAGATTGCTGACACCGCCCCAGAATCCTCACTCCAGAAGAATCCCGCAACTTCTCGAGAGGATGTCCATGATACAGTAATGATCATGGAGTTTCGGGACAAGCGGGCCCGTCAAGAATGGATCGCCACCAAGGAATGGCAGGAGTTTATGCGGGAGACAGAGGGTCAGCAGGTTTTCAGGCGAATGCCTCATGTTCGTTGTGCCAGTAGCATCAGGGGGTTGATGGATCCAATGGACATTTTGACTGCTTGAATAGCAACCACGCAGCTTCGCGCCGAAGATACTAGGTCAGCGGGATTTCCACCACAACATGACCCAGAAAGTTCGGGCGCTCTACCAGGAAGTGACCGTCTCGGGGGCACGTCGCTGGCATGAGGATAGCCGAAGAGCGACTGATCAAGTCTGTCACCAAGCAAACGCCATATGAGCCTGTTGGGACTTAGGTCGAGGCAAACGTGCTGCAAAACTTCGCCTATTCATTATGCGTTGCCGATTTTGCATCAAGCACGATTGATGTTTGGAATAGCAGCGTTGTCGACATTTTGGACCTTTCAGTTGTTGAGCTCAGAAGCTTGAATCAGAAATCTTGAATCCCGGTCTCCCCCTCTAATTCATGACTTGGACTTCTTCGGAGTCCCTCCTCGCCCTTGACAAACTCGGGCTCCTGCTCGTCAAAGTACCTATCTTCCGCATCCCTCTCCTCAAGGACTCGGTCATCGTACTCCGGATTGTAGTCAACGGAATCATAGTCGAAATCGTCGTCTCCGCCTCTCAAGAAGCGCACTTCCATCTCCCACTTCCACCGCGCAAGACCTTCCTCCTTGTTCGCAGGCACTTCATCTCGATCTTCAGCCAGTATTTCTCCATTCGGCCCGCGCTTGTAAGTAAACATGGCATGAGGGTCTGGGTGGTGCAGCGCCTCAAGTTTTGCTTCGCTCCGATACAGGTCCGCTTCGAGAATGCCAGAGTACCCTTTCTGGCGACCTTCCGCTTCACGTTCGGCCGGTGTTTGGAAGCGGCGTATTAATCGGTCGTAGAGTAGTGGATCTGCAAGGACAAACGTAAGTTGCTGAACCCTACCTGCTGAAGAGCCAGTCATGGCACACCTGCCAGTTCAAGCTGAGGTCCAAAGTACTCTGGGTGAGTATCTAGGTATCGTTTTCGCCGATTCTTAATGCGGATTCGATCTGGAACCTGGGTCTCTACTGACGACGCACCCTTCGGCGGTAGAGAAACATTGCCGCATATCGGAATCCCTGTACCTTCTGCAAAGCGAGGCATGTCAGAGAGCTTTGTACAGTGGCCGTATCGAAAGTAGAGGCACGAGTGCCAGCACCACCAATTGGAGGGGAATCGAGTTGGCCTCTCTTTCATCTTGGTTTGCTGTAAGTTCTTGAGGTACCTAGTACCGTGTGGCGCACCGTACTACTTCGGAGTATGAAACTTCAAGACGCCGTTGGCGTATTGCGAGATCGCGCAGCATCACGCCGATATGCTCGACGAGATTGATGACTTCGCAAGTGCCAACTCCGCCATGATGTCGCTTAAGATATGCGCTGCGTGCACTCATACTTGAGATCTGTCATGGTTGCATGCGGATACGAGCAGCACCTAAACGTTAGCTGCTTTCATCCCGGGTGGTGAATACATGCATGGCAGTTGAAGCGCGATCCGTGTGGCTTCTGGAATGGACTGGACGCATTAAGAGGCAAGGAACTTGCTTATTTGGATTTCACGAGGTCCAAATTACGATAGGAAATGGAGGGCTGAAATAACTAGTTGGTTATGCATCCATCTAGGTGGGATTGCTGTGGTATCAAGAATACCAAATGCCATCATATTTTGGCGAAGCGATGGGCAAGACGCCTGTGTATATAAACTGTGGATCTATATCTGGCCCATACCATCCTTACGCTCGCCAAGACTAAATGCAAGACCATGGCAGGATACCGCACTGTCGATCTGTAGTGCCATTTGAGGAGGTTCAAACACTTGCACCCCGCAGAGATCAGGCCGCCGAGGCTTCATTGGCCTTTGCAGGTAGTGGCGATATTCAAAACATCAGAGATCTTCCGACACGCTGCGAGCGCTTCTGCAGGATCACTTCTGCAGGTCACCTCATTTCCGAGATGGGGAAGAAACGAGGGCCGCCATATCCTCGCGCCAGAATTGCTTGAATGTCAATGTTGGCATTGGGACATTGCGCCCAAAGTTTGACAAGAATATAGCGACCCGAACTGCCAAAAAGTTTAGTTTCTCGGTCGCAAAGATAACACAATGGGATGGCGCTACTCACATTGGAGGGTCGAATTTGATTTCGGTGCTAGATTTGCTTCGACTGATGAAGAACAGAGCGTGGGGCGTAACGCCAGCTCTTGCAGAGGAGCTAGCTGACACTCCATTGGGCCCAGTTTTCGAGGTCGAAGCTTCAGCTTCTGTTGATAGATTGGACCGCTCTTCCGAGGGATAACCAACATCAGGCATCCCAATCGCAGGAGCAAACGTTCGAGCTCCTATCCGACTTGAGGTTGAGCGACGGTTGTACGATCCCTCTTCGTCGAGCTCGCTTTCCCGGCTCCGGCGCCCGAAAAATTCATCGCTCTCACGGATTTGCTGTGCCCGCATGAGATCCAGCATGCGATTCCGATGGGCGAGTGTATTTTCGAGATCAAGTTGCTGCCGTTGGAAGCGTTCTATTTCCCCTGATTCCCTGTCTTCGAAAGGAACATCGGGCTCATAGCCTTCTGAGTCGCTCGAATTAGACCAAGGACCATCATTGCGGTCGTTTCCGAAATACACTGGTCGATATCGATCAACGTAGGATCTCAATGAATATTCATCGTCGTGCCACGGTCGCGGTGATGGTGGACCCTCACCGCCATCTTCTCCATCAGACGGTTCTACCACTGTTACATGAAGACCGGGTACGAGAGGAACCTCGAGATGAGAGTCATCTTCGGGACTTGTGGGATTGTTGAGGTATCTAGAACGATCAATGGACCTGAGAGGAGACCTTGTGGAGTTCATATACTCATGGGAAGGGCGGTATCCATCTGGTCTGTGTCGTTGATGGCGGTAACTCTTTGGAGACCAGCGTACATCGTACTGGGAAGTCCGATCGAGGAGATTATCATCTTCCATTGCAACAAAAACCAAGCCATTTTGAATTGGTGCATCGTAACCGGTACGTGGGGCTTTAACCACGATCTCGGTCAAGGTAAAAGGCATTCCGCCCACATGCTTCAGTAAGAGGTTGCATTTGTTGGACTTAGTGCAGTAGACGCTAGTATCGTCTTTGAGGACATTCTGTGGATAAGAATTGATGGCCACATGAGGATCGGAATATTCTCCGCCGTCACAGCTGATAATCTCCAACCTCAGTTGACCAGGGACGACCTGACCTTTGTGCCCATAGCTAAACGTTCGAGGTTCATCCTCATATGTACCATCAGTCAACTTCCTCCGTTTCGATCTCGGCCGATCACCACGATCACTGACTGATTGAACTGATGAGGCAGGCGACTCGTTGGATGGTGGCACATATGTATCGGAGGCGGCAGCTCTTCCACTCTGTCCGATTCTTTCTCTTTGGTACCTCTGCAAACGTTCGCTGGGTCTGTAGGCTCTCAGACGAGTTCGCACGAGGCTGGATGCTGCCATTTGGAGGTCCTCCATATCCCTGTCCAGTGCTTCGAAAGCTCTTTCGACCCCAAGGTGACGCTCCGAGCTGAGAAGATTTCTAAGGTTTTGAAGCCGTGTTGATATATCGGACCAAGCAGGGCGTTCAGTGGGATCGGGCTTGATGGAGGTTAGTACTAGATGGTAACAGAGAGCTTGATATGTAGGACAAGAAGGACTTGTGGGATCGTACCATGGCTGAACAAACAATGGGCCGAGAGCCAGTACGAACAAAAGCGGCCTTCGGAACGAGGGCAACCCGCAAAGTGACTGCGTTCGACTTGGATCAGAGTATGAGAGACATGTGGGATTATATAGCACGGGTCGAAGAATGCTACAACCTGAGGATGGATGTTGAAAAAGGTCCTCTGAAGAAGGGTTGTAGTCGGACGTTCGCAGTGAATCAGAGACTTGCCCCACGATTCAAATGGGTGATGGCACTGGTGACTGCGCCTGCCGAAGGCCCGTGCGGCATGGAAGGCACCACCCGGAGAATTAACGCACCATCAACCCCTCTTAGGTGCCTCTAGGCGTGCCGCTAGCCTGTAAAGCCTATTAGGTAGTCTGCCAGCAATCGGAGCCTTGCTGCCCACAAGAACGTACCTACGCGTACTGGGTAGTGGAATTCTCGCTTGGCACTGAACTGCCCCCCTGCAGCAGCATGAGATAATGTCTACCGGGTACCTACCCCCTAAGACTCCAATGCGCCGAAGAGCAAAGATTTCGTTTCAGCAGTCTTTTCATCTTCATCTAACCTTCACCTCACCTCACCACAATTCTCACTCTTGAGAATAATACCTCCCAAGACCGCCTCCAGTTTCCCAGAACTTTGTCGTCACTCTCGAAAGCTCAAACTTCTGCAACAATCACTTTGTTTCAGCCTTCCCTCTCTGCCCTTTGGGATGCACCATGGACGAGACTCTCTTGTCTGGTGGCTCTCATCCTCCGAACGGAACCCACCTAGCAGATCCTGTGGCGGTAGACGTGAATGGAGCGATGAATGAAGGCATAGGTGGAGCTATCAATGGTTCGACATTTGTCACATCCGTCCCTGTTATGGGCGACCTCAACGGCTACCCCCAATTACCTGATGCAACTTTTGGCGGCATGGCCCTCCCGATGAACGGAATGCAGCCTGAAATGTTTGTGATGCAGCCTCAGCAACCTATTTCTGCCGACGAGATCGCGTTGTATGACAGACAGATCCGCCTATGGGGCATGCAAGTCCAGGAGAAGCTCCGTCGTGCCAACGTACTTCTCATCGGCATGAAAGGCCTGGGATGTGAAATTGCAAAGAATCTGGTTCTGGCAGGAGTTGGAGTGTTGACAATTCTTGATCATGAAGTCGTCACAGAAGAGGATTTGGGAACGCAGTTTTTCGTCAATGAAGCTCAAATTGGCCAGAATCGGGCACAAGCGACTCTCGCAGAGTTACAGAAGCTGAATCCAAGAGTTGAGGTGTACACGGACCCGAATGCGGCTGTGACCAAGGACCCGGAATACTTCCAGAACTTCGATATCACCATTGCAACCGGCCTCATTATGGATGTGCTGGGGACCATCAATATGGCCTGCCGGATGTATGGCCGGAAATTCTATGCCGCAGACACCCACGGTATGTATGGCTACATATTCGACGATTTGATCATCCATGACTTCGTAATCGAGAGACAGCAGAGGAACAAACCCACCAAAGTCGGCGACATGGAGACGTCTACCAAATGCGTCACTGCCGTTGAGTCGAAGAAGGAAAATGAGAAGACAATGGAAGTGATTACCTATCAAGAGACCTATTCCCCCATTCCTCTGGCCAATCTGTCTCCTCTCCCAGCGCGGGTGAGAAATACTCGACGAAGCCGCACAAAAGTCACACCTTTACTTTCTTGCCTGCGGGCTCTCTTCGATTTTCAAGGCCAAATGGGTGGTCGACTTCCCGGGCACAACAGAGCAGATCTTGAGCTCTTCACTAGATTGGCAAATCAGAAACACCTGGAGCTTTCACTTCCCCTGGAAACCTTGAGGTCGGACTTTCTTCGCGCTTTCCTGCAAAACCTTGGCTCTGAAATCAGCCCAGTGGTTGCATTCCTGGGAGGTTACTTGGCACAGGATGTCATCAATGTTTTGGGAGAGAAGGAGCAACCGCTTCAAAACTGGCTTCTGTTTGATGGAGAGGACTTCACAGCCGCCCAGTTCTCGATACATCCTATCAACGAAGATGCCATGGAAATGATGAACACGAACGGAGCTGTGATGATGCCAGAGGTTGCGTCCATGGAAGGCACGGTTCCGGTGGCTTGATCTATGCTTCCGCAACTGGCGAGGCTGGGAATTTTGTTTCAATACAGCATGACTCTGCTGGATGCTCGCTTTTTGACCAATTGGGATCGGGATCCATTCTTGGCATCAAGAAATTTTACACGCCTCACAACATTCTTCATGATCAAAGACCGCCAGATTTTTACACAGAGCTGGTCATTTCAACACATAGGATGAAGGCCGTGTACCAGAATCAGCAGTCCTCCTCTTTTATACCTGCTTGGATGGCAGAGCGATGACTCAGACATCCCTCTACTCAACTACGGACTACGCCTATGAACGATCCTTGCCTGAAATGCAGGCGGCCTTGACCACTTGGAATGAATATTAGACCGCTAACCCATACTAAGATTCAGTATCTACTTCCTTGTTGTTGAAAATGACCCATCCGGATTTCCCTACAAGACTAGTTGACCTGACTTTAAACGACTCGAGCCATAACCCTTCCTTGTATGCGACCCTTAAATCAATTCGCAAATCTGCGCTTTCACTTCCAAATCGCCTCACCTCCATCCTTAGTGACGGTAAATTTGTCAAAGCAGCGTCCCAACGATACAACCTGCCCCTGGTCGCAAACGAACGTTGTGGTAGCTGGTACATCGACCCAGCTGATAAAGTCGGCAGCACATATTTCAAAAGTACTGATGGGCACCACGGACAATGGGACTTTTCTGCTCGCAGACTCAATCTGCAGCTCCTTCCCATTTTGGCCGTTCACGGTGGTGCAATTGTAGTCGACTCAACGCGTCGTGGTAAGAACTTGCCAGATGCGTTCAGCAAGACTGTCCCGATATGGGCGGCGGTGATCAACAGAGCATTGTTCCCGGAAATGCCTTGGGCACACAGTCTTCAAACTCCACCCCCCCCGGATGACCTAGGCCGGTCTGAGATATCACAAATCGAAGCCCGGCTCGACGAGTTTACCGCGACTTTCATCATGCTGGGATTAAACTTAGAAAGCTTACGCAAAGAGCTGCAGCGGCCTATCCGGCTTACCTGGACGATAAATGGCTGTCCTAATGTTGAACGTGGTGACGAGACAGACCTTCTTCAATCACGGTCATTTTCTGCACTCGAGCACTCCTGTCACAACATTGTGCTCTGCTCCGCATCTCGTCGGGTCCGCGGTGCAGAAAGCTCGGAAGGCGGGTACATCCAAGGTGCCGGTGACGATAGCGAAGGGTGGTCGCACGGACTCACTGCTGAACTCTTCTGGAAGCATAGACAGCTGTTGATGCAGACTCCGGAAGATGAACTGCCTGCTCTTATCGAGGAGTTACTCAGGCAAGAAAATGAAGCACGGGGAACGGGCATTTCAGTCACGAAAATCACTCCAACATCCAACCTCCATGTTGCAGTCGGGCCCATCGAGAGCTTGGATGGTTTCGACCTGATTATCAATTGTCAAGGCGACGCACAAGGCTCAACCTCGAAAGCTATTTGCTTAAGCTGTGGCCCCGGCAAATTCGGGAGCAGAGAACTTCGCGAAAAGCTCCCTGATGTTGTCAGCGCTGTCAACAATCTGCTCCTCACGCGACCCCAAAGCCAGATACTGATCACTTGCACTACCGGCAAAGATCTTAGTGTGGGTGTTGCAGTTGCAATTTTGTGTTTGTGCTATGACGACGAAGGTCAGTGACAATTTTGTGCATGCATTAGACCTAGGGAACTCGATTGACAACAACATACAGGCCACTTGAGAGAGGCTGCCGACCGGCTGGTTGTCGAAAAACAGCTTGTCAAGCGAAGACTGGCCTGGATCACCTGCTCAAAACAGGATGCAAACCCTTCCAGGGCGACACTGCAAGCTGTGAATTCTTTCTTGATGCAGCGTCCGGACTGATGCTAGAAACAAACGCCAAAGAAAAAAGCTGGATCAGCCTGGCATGGGCGCGTTTTGGCCATGGCTAAAGTCAGTATCACAGGTCAGTACGTGGTAGCTTTGGTATGGCCTTGATTCCCGTTTATGGTCATTGAGGCATAGACGCTGAAGCCTTTTTGGTGACAAAGAGCTTCCAGCTTACCCGAAGGGATGGTCGGTGCAGAAGCAAGAAGCCGAAGCCAATGAAGGTGGATGGAGGAGCTGCGGCTGGTGAGGCTAGTGTAGCTGCTGGGCGCCGCTGCGGGCTGACGGTTGCTGGTCGCATGATTGCATCATGACCCCATTTCATTTTCAGGTGTTGGCTCATTCAATCAAAAAGTACACGCCCTTCAGCTTTTCAATTCCAGTGATCTCTCAAATTTCCTCTTTGCTGGATCTGGTCCCTCACGCTCCGTCAAAAATGTCTGCGCTCTCTTTCGGCGACACCCTCCCTCTACCCAACTCTTCCGTTCGCATCCCCCGCCTTGGATTTGGAGTCTACCAGTCCCCCCCCAGTCGTTGCGAACAATCATGCCTGTGTGCCCTACAAGCCGGATACAGACACATTGACACTGCGCAATTCTATCACAACGAAGCTCAAGTCGGTGCGGCGCTGCGCAAATCGAGTCTTCCTCGCTCTGAAGTGTTCATTACAACCAAAATCCTCTCTGCAGGGGGCAGTGTCGAGAAATCATACAAAAAGTGTCTCGAGAGCGTGGAGAAGATTGATCCGGGCCACGATGGCTACGTGGATCTGTTCTTGATACACAGTCCCAATGCGGGAAGCGGGAAGAGAAAAGAAATGTGGCAGGCTCTTGAAAAACTGTACGAGAAGGGAAAGGCCAAGAGCATTGGCGTGAGCAACTTCGGGGTTGGACACATTGAAGAGATGAAGGAATATGCAAAGGTCTGGCCGCCACATGTGAACCAGATCGAGGTACGATGAACCACTGCCATCACCGTCGAATTTGCGGTGGTCTCGCCGAGGTGTGAGAGGAGACTGACCGAGTTTGTTAGCTGCATCCGTGGTGCCAACAACGAACTATCACAGAATATTGTCAGAAACACGGCATCGTGGTCGAAGCCTACTCGCCGCTGGTCCGTAACTACAAAGCCAACGATCCTACACTGGTCTCCTTGGCCAAGAAATACAACAAGACTACGCCACAGATCCTCGTGAGATACTGTTTGCAGAAGAACTGGGTTCCACTGCCGAAGAGTGATACTCCAGACAGGATCAAGCAGAATGCAGATGTCTACGACTTTGAGCTATCTCAGGATGACATGGCCGTGCTGGATGCGCTAGACCAGGGGGACGCTGGGGCAATTGTTCAAGCTGTGCGCAATGGGTAGGATATGTGGGATGGTCCAGGGACCGGTCGAGGACAGTGTATACGAAGTCGGTGAGAAGGGTTTCGCTTGTCCCTGTGCGCATCTGAGGTAACGCCCCCAGTTCAAAGTGGAGATGGGTCCCATCTTGAGCTCTTTGGCTCACAGTTTCATGACATCTGCAGCCACTGCTTCCTCGACACTGAAGTGTGTTTGAAGCGTCCGGTTTCCTTGCAATGTTTCTAGGGTCAACCATTCAAGTTGAGTACGCACGAGTCGTCTGATTGAATATCATCATCATTAATCGCACCGGCCTTCTCTCTCTCTCTCGGTAGGCAGCGGATCAGTTTCATTGGCTTGTATTGAAGTTGATTACATTTTCTTACAGATCCAGCAGTGCTTTCGCTTGCACATCTGCCAGAACTCAAAACTAAGATATCTTTTACTCTGTCCGGTTTCAAAGTATATCCTCTAGATGATGAGCGCACCACAGCCTAGAGCGTCGATCAATGGCCATCAGTCACAGAAAGCTGCTGCCTCGGACAAGCCTGGAACTGAGCAAGAAGAGCTTGGCTCGCGCGTTGTCCAGAAAAAAAAAAGGTCCAGGGAGTGCATGTCTGCCTTCCTTTACCATTACAGGGTGTCAGAATCCGCGAACGCGATCTCCTATCGAATGCGTTCCCCAACAGTTTCACCAGAGACCTCGCGAGAGCCCACGGAAGCAGGCTGGCCCGATGAATTGGTCTTCTCATCAACTACGGACGATAGTCTAACCGAGTCACACACCATTTAAGAGATAGTGACCCAGTTGCGCAATGTCTTGACTCGGCCATTCTCCCGAGGCCGGCCCAGGATGGTTGGGACTCAAAGCCTCCTTGTACCTGACGCGCAACCTTCTCTCCTCTCCTTGCAAGATGCTTGAAGGGATATCGAGACACGAGGCATTTCTGAAAGTTAGAGCGGCAATCAGTAAGCACCTGGTCTTTCGGGCGCCTTACAGGAAGAGTCGACACGGTGTCGAATACAGACCAATACAATGAATCTTGTTCCATAATCAAGACGTCAAGCGGCAACAAAGCAGCAAGTTGAGTTTTTCTAATCAAACAGCCCCTCGAATGGAGCGTCTCAAGGTTCCTTCTCAACCACTCTGTTTCGCGGGGCTTGGCGATTAGTCTGGGTTCCTTGCCCTCTTCCAAGTACTACATCCGATTACTCAACATCAACTTTGGGACTAAGAAGCCGCAAGCCTCGTCTGTTATGCCTTGCCTCATCCTGGCCTCAGCTGCAGGGAAATTTGTTGAGGACGCCCCTTATGATCAATTCAGGCGCTGGTAGGGAGGGAAAGGCCTTTCTTCCGGCTCGCCGGGGCCTTATGGCTGCAGGCGGGACCACAGAGGAGCTTTCAGCTGGCGCATACAATGAGTAACCGGGAACTCAACATTCTCGAGTTTCCGCTCCCTCAAACGGGACAAATCCGAAGGAATTGTCAGCTATGAGGTTTGGCCGAAGCTGGGGTGCTTCAGTCTTGATGTGGCCTTTTCAGGGGTGGAGAAATTCAACAAAACCACGGCTCGATAGGCAAGTATAAAACGAAACATTACCTCCTCATCTTTGATGTGTTCGAGATATTCTGTGACAACATCACATCGTCTTCTTTGCCGTGAGAACCCTGCTCAGTCAACATAGATTTGTTCAGCACGCCAGCTTCAGGCTTTGAGCATTCACCAAACATGTCGCTTTCCAACACGGCAATCACATTCGGTCCTAGCGTCGAGGAGCTGCTGGAACGCAACAAGTCAGTAATTCACGGGGGCGGCCAATACTTCTGGCGAGCCCCCTCTCCCCGTGTGGGCGTTTTTGGCTGACTTTTCGATGCACAGGCAGTATGCTGCTGGCCACAAGCCTATTCCGTCTTTGCTGGCTCGGACGAAGAATGATCCCAAAATGAATGGTCCTCATGTGCTGATCGGTAGGCACCAACCTATTCAAAGGGCCATGAAACAGAGAGAAAAGAGAACATGGAAAACTGAAACAGACTCCAGTATCGTGCCTTGACTCCCGTGCCAATCCATTGACCTTTTTGGGCCTCAACCTTCGCGAATGCCTCATTCTGCGCAACGTGGCGGGCCGCTTCTCCTCGGCCGCAAGCGACATTGCCGCGCTCGACACCTTCTTCCACATTTCTCAGATAATCCTCGTGCATCACAGCAACTGCGGCGCGTCGCACATCACCAAGCAGCAGGTCCTGGACGGGATCTGCCAGAAGAGGCCCGAGTTTGTCACTACCACGGCGGGGGGCTTCGGGGAGCTCGAGGCCAGATTGCCGATGAAGGAGGACAACCGCGACTCGTTGGTGGAGGACCTTAAAAGAGCCAAGACGTGCGGGTTCTTGAGGAAAGATCTGGTCGATGGGATTGTTGGACTGTGGCTTGATGTTGAAACCGGACTGGTTACGAAGGTGTTCCCTGACGATGATGGTAATTAAGGCAAGCAAGATCTGAGACGACAAGATGGAGCTCGATGGCGGCTTCGATTAGGGTCCCATGAAGACAAGGCTGGCTTTGGTCTCCTAGAGCTGCGATGCTCCTACCAGGCCAACACACATCATCTACAGAGACAGTAGTCCGTCTGATATTCGCGCTGAGGGAAGATGCGGTTCGCATTGGAACAGAATCCAGATAGAAAACTGTCTTCAGAAAATTGCTCATCCTTTGCCTATTGAGAACATTGTCGTTGGGTCAGTGGACAAAACCTCTGGGACCTCGTCGCTTCCAATATCCTGGTGGTCGGTATCTGAGGATATAATCCATCCGCAGGCAAGATTCAGTGGCCGACGGGGCATTTGTTGTCCTTCTTCCCGGAAGGCCCAAGACGATCCTTCTGCAAAGTCAGCGACCATACCGCATCTAGGTTGGGCTCTTTACTGTTAGTATTGCGCTTCATAACAGGCGATCCAGTACGTATCACATCGGGGTTATGTAAGACTGCTGCAGGTCCTCGGGTTGCATGCGCCATATTGAGAAAATTGCTGCTTGTCAACCGAATGAGCCTTGACAGTCGCCGTCGGTTTGCCGCCTCCAGAAAAGGGGAAGTTGTTGCACCTCCAATCAAGCTCTGCCGCCCTGGTCCCCGGATGCGGATCGCCTCGTAGGTCGACGGCTTCTAGATATTGAGGTACGTACGTACGGGAGTTGGGGCCGTGTAGAAAAGCATGGTAAGCCGATTCCGGGGATCATATATTAACTGCTCTTCGGACAGAGTCACCATAAGGTCTGCCAAGAGACATTCAAGGAAAGACAAACATCATGAAGGAGCCTTTCTATATCGTCGCAACCTTGCACCCGGTCCCGGGAAGGGCTCAGGAAGTGAGTCTCTCTCGGTCTCCCTTCAGGGCCTCATAGCTAATGGCACACAGGTGATTGAAGCTATCCAACCATTCACCGAACATGTCAAGGCCAACGAGCCAGGCTGTCTCCATTATGAGATGTTCCAGCCCGCAGATGCCGAGCCTGGCAACGGACCCATTGTCCTCATTGAGCTGTAAGTTTTCAACCCGACGGCTTCAGGCCGACGGCGTCTTTTTCGCTCGGTTCAAAGGACCATCGAAATAAAAACTGATCGCGCTGCATCTCAAGGTACAAGGACAGGGAGGC